GACAGCGCACATCTGGACAGCCTGTACCTAGACAGCGCACATCTGGACAGCCTGTACCTAGACAGCGCACATCTGGACAGCCTGTACCTAGACAGTGCACATCTGGACAGCCTGCCCCTGGATAGCCCAGAACTAGAAAGCCTACACCTGAACAGTTCACCTGCCCCTGGACAGCTCACATCTGGACAGCCAGCTAGACAGCCTGCCCCAGAATAGCTCACACCTGAACAGCTCATATCTGGGCAGCCTGCAAGGACAGCCCACACCTGGACTGCCTATACCTGAACAGATCACATCTGGAACCACCTTCTCAAACATAGCCTTGGCCCCTTCCCGGCAGCATGCACTAGGACCACTGAGTGATGAGAATACAGGCTCTCCCAGCAGGCAAGCAGTCTGTTCCAAATAGGCCTCACAGAATGGATGGATGGATGGATGGATGGATGGATGGATGGAGAAAGGAAGGGAGGGAGGGACGGAGGGAGGGATGGATGAATGGATGGATGGATGGATGGAGGCTGCAGTGGGCACTTTTTCCCCATCTAGCATCCATTCCCCTTCCCTCTAGTACCAGTTCCCTAATTTTTTTAGGGACCACTCACCTCTCTCAGTCTCTGTGGGCTGAGCTAAGCCTGCCCTCTCAGCTCCAAAGTACCCCTTTCTTTACTAGCCACAGTGACTGACCCCTAGGTGGGCCAATTAGAGAAGACTGCAGGTCCACAATGGCACCATCAGAAAAGAGGAACTGTCCTCTGGAGTTGGTATAGGCAGGATCGTAGCTCAAAGCAGCCCCCATTAAGGAGAACCCATGTGTTACGTCCAGAGGAGAGCAGAGCTGCAGACAGAGACAGTCCTAATGGCCCATTTATTCTCCTGGATGCTGCCATCCCTGAAGCTCAACCTTTATTACAGAGGCAGTTCATTCCCTTTTTGTGCTTAAGGCAGTCGGAGTTGGGTTTTCCGTCATCGGTTGGAGTGAACTCACCAAGATGTAGAAGGTGATAAAAATGGGACTGGAGGTGATACGAATCTTGGCCCGAGCAAACGGAAGCTTCCAGAGCAGGAAGATGAAGAAGAGCACATTGGGGATGAGCAGCAAGAGGTCCCAGTACCGGACCCTGGCAAACAGGTACAGGGGCTGGCTCACTGTGAGGCTGGGAATGCCCCCCACCCAGCACAGTCCACGAAAACCCGCTCACACCCAGCAGGCAAGACTCCTTACCTGGACGTGCCAATGTCTTCATAGAGCAGCAGCAGGCAGCGATGGGGCACGCTGATGTTTGGCGCCAGGGGTGGGGGCAACGCTGTGCTCCCGTTGTCCCAAATCACCATCCCGCCAGCGGCTGGCCCTAGGGGAGTGAGAGCCACCAGGGTGAGCAGCGTGGGGGCTGTGCAGCCTGGGCTACTGCTCTCCTTCCCCTGCGTCACAGGTTCCCGGGGGACAGCAGAGGAGCTGCACAGAGCACACCGGAGGACCACTCGCCCCACCCCCACAGCTCAGCTCCAGCCTCACTGGGTGGGAGGTGAGTGTGGGGCTCTACACAGTCATGTCAGGCTGTGTGTCGTGACCCCTCAAACAATTACAAAGCCATCCCATTAACTGAGCACCACTGTGCCAGGTGCAGCAATAGGAGCGACCCGACATCACCCATCAAGTCCCTTCCATCTGCAGGGGCCCAAGAGGCATTGAGCAGAGCACAGGCTGGGGGCTCTGTTCCCAGCCCTGCCCTACTTTCTGTCCTCCCTGTGCCTGCTTCTCCCCACAGAAGTGGCTGACAACACTGAGAGTGAGGGATGTGGAGAATGTCCGCCAGGGCCTGCACGTGGGAAGGGCTCACAGCAGCAAGACTGGCTCAGGGGCCACCTGGCTCACGTGAGGCCACATAGCTGCTACATGCCACAGCTGGCATCGTGTACCCCTCAGTTGGACCCTCGAGCCCCCTCAAGCCCCTCTGCTGCCACCCTGGAAAGGCAGACACAAATGGAGGTGGCACTGAGCTGCGCCTGAGAGAAGCATGGGAGGTCTCCACGTGGAGACAGGCGTGGGGGAAGAGCAGATGCTGAGGAGGAGGGGCAGCGGAGCTGTTTCTGCAAAGGCCGGGCTGCTGGGCATTGTAGAGTCTCGATGGACCCACAGGCCAGGGGCACATGTGACAATCTGAGCACAGGGTTCAAGAGTCCAGCACGGAGGAGAGGAGAGCGGGTGGTCTGGGGTACTGAAGGAGTGGCTAGAAAACTGAGCCACAGACTCCCAGGTCAGAGGACTCTTAGGGGACAGAAACAAGGACTTCTGCAGAGAGCTCTGGAGAGCCCAGAGCAGGGCAAGCCAGAAGTGGCCTGAGACACCAGGACTTAACAGGTGCCAACATTTAGAATGAGGATTTGAGCAGACTGGCCGGCTGCCCCACCACATCTGCCCTTGGATGGAAATGCACAAGTGCTGCTTATGGCAGCCCCGGGCTGGGAGCAGCCAAATGCTCCACACAGGCAGAGTGCTCATGTAAATGGTGGCAGGCTCAGATGGGAACACACAGCAGCACTAAGAAAAATGGACTGCTACTGCAGGCAACATGCCTGGGTCTCCCAGATGTGAGGCTGAGTGAGCCAGGCACAAGAGCCAGCGTGCACATGACCTGTGTTCAGAGGTGGACAAGGGGTGCCTTTGCAGAGGGAGAGGCGTGTACGGGGGAGGCGTGCCCACTTCTGGTCCTTCATGGAGGTGATGAGGACACAGACCTGTTTGCCGTGTGGTAATTCACCAGGCCACACACCCAAGATTCCTAAGTCATAGGTATATCTTAACATATCAAAGGCCCAGATGTCTCCTTGGGCAAGAAGCAGCCCAGGGAGCTGAGTGCCCATCAGTAGGTGGTCTGCAGCAAGACAACAGAAGCCTCTGCTTATGCTGTCACCAAGACTGTCCCTGAGGAGCAGCAGGCCCAAGACGGCACTGGGGGGACTTAGGGACGTTGCCCTTACGCTTCTGAGCCATGAAGTGCCAGTGTCACTTCTGCCTGGGAGAGCAGGGGCTCAGGCCAATCCAACAGGCCACTCACTACCAGCTCTGGGATCTCGTCCCCATCTAAAGAAAGAGGATATCACAGCAACATCCAGGACAACAGGATGTACTGAAGATGAGAATATACAGGAGTCCTGACCATTAAGTCTCCAAACCCACCCTAGCAAAACTGCTACATACCTCATGGCTGAAGTCATTACAGTCACCTTGAAGTGCTCCCTTTGGAAAGCTCTGCACTCATGCCAGCACCTAGTCCACCCTCCAAATCAATTTTGGAACTCTTCTTCTGAAATGATCATCAGTATTGTTGTCATACAGCACACAAAAAACACACAACAACAATAATGGATGCCGCTAGCAAGACACCGTCAGGTGTCAACATGAACACAGCTGTGAGACACTGATATGCCAAGGTTGTGAATCCTTCCTGAGTTGTTTGTACAGTGCTGCTACCATAAGGGCATGGTGACAAGTTCGTGAACTTAACTGTCGCACCTTGCATGACAACAGCTCAGATGGCCATTCCAGAAAATGAGCTCAAAATCGCTTGGAAGGGTGGTCTAGGTGCTAGCATCAGTGCCTAGCTTCCCGAGAGGACTACTTCAAAGGTGACCATAGTGATATTCAGCAATGAGGTATATAGCACTTTTTCTAGGGTGAGTTCACAACCTTAATTGTCTGATCTTATATGCCTGGCATGCAGCCATCCTAAGAAGGAAGTTGATTCCCTCCCCGTTCCCTACTGAGGGTAGAGATGGGCATGGAAGCCCGGCCTTCATCCAAGCATTCTTTCACTTTAACAAGCACCTGCTGGGTGCCAGGCACAGGCCTAGATGCTCAGACACGGCCAGCAAGGCACTGCCCTCACAGGGTCTCCATCCTCCAGAGGAGAGACCAAAATATGTAGCACAAAACGCTTATTTATAGTGCAAACTTCTAGAGATAAGTTCTAGAAAGAGAAGAAAGAGAAGGGCAGAACAGAATGATAAGATAGGGGAAGACTGCGGGCCTCCCCCAACAGCCACCTTTCCCTTTAACAGTGGGACTCATGCATTTTGCCTTGCACGTGGCTTCCCAGAACATGGCTACTTTTCCCAGCCTCCCTGCAGATGGGTATAGCCTTGTGGCGAAGTTTTATCCAACTGGACGCGAACAGAATGAAGTTTTCCGATTTCAGGCCAGGCCCTTCTCTCTTCCCATTGTCTGGAATATGAATGTGATGGTGTGAGCAAGAACAGCCATCTGAGACTGACCGCAAGATGGAAACCCTGTAAAAGGATAACAGGGAGATAACAAAGAAGGTGTCTGGGTCCCTGACACAGGAACGGTGTGCACACAGGCTGCCATGCAACAGAGAGAAGTAATCTTTTATTTTATTATCTTGACTTTGTCTCAACGGCTAAGCTCAATTTCAACGAATAGAAAGGGGTACTGCTTTGGAATGGATGGTTAGAATATGTGACCTCTGAGCTGAGGTCTAAATAAATGAAAAGGAGCCAGACTTGGAAAATCTGGTAAAGAACATTCCAAGGAGAGAACAGCAAACCCAATAGGCCAGGGTAGAAACAGGCTTGGCCTGTCCAAGGGGCAAAAAGCAGGCCCAGGTAGCTGGAAGTGGTGTCCGAAGGGTTGATGGGGCGGTTCGGATACACATGCCCATGTGCAGTGTTGTTCCACCCCAAGTGCAGTGAGAGGGGTGTTACAAGGTGGTAGGATCCCATTTCCATGTAGAAGGAAGGGGGACTGAAGCAAGGGAGGTGTGAGACAGGGAGGTGGTGAGGACTCCTGCAGCTGTCCAGGCAGGAGCACAGAGGCTAGCACGAGTGGCAATGGTATGGTGGGGGATTTGGGAGACCTTTGGGGGAGATGACAGGTCCAACACAGAGTGAGGGGAGAGACCAGGGAAAGCTGAAGCTGTGGTTTCTGGCCCGAGCCACTGAATATTTTACAACTGGGACTGACACTGAATATGCTGTCCCCACTAGACACTGTCCCCTTCTTCCTTGCTAATAAGCTGGTCCTTTGTGCAGGATCCCTCTGTAAGACCTGTGTTCAGGGAAGGGCCCCCACCCACCCCAGCACCAGAAGCTGAATCTCAATTAATTTAATCTAGTGGGCCTTGGTGTGGAGATCAGCATGACAATGGTCTTACTGGACATGATGAGCTCCCCTATATGGGAATGGATTTTTCCCATATAGGATCCAGGGCTGCCAAATGTCCTACAATGTAGGGGACAGTCCACCAAACGCGTAATCGTCCTCCCCTTCAGCTGACAGTGCCCGGCAGAGAAGCTCTGGCCCAAGTCAAGAAAGGTGACCCATTCTGCCCCCAGGCAGTGGCCGGAGTTGGCAAGGGCATGATGCCACACAGGGGGCCCTGAATCTGTGTGTGGTTGTGGAGGGTGTTACGTCTGGAACTCTACCATCCTGCACCCCTGTGAGGACCAAGCCACTACACTCAGCATGGGGGAGCTACAACTACAGGGCTGTGCCACCTTCTGTGTGACTTCTGATGTACGAGATAACAGCTGGAAATGACACTGAGTTGAGAGCATCAGTTACCTTCAGGAAGGAGGGAGATTGCCCTATGGTGAGGGCAAGGGTGGAAGACCCCAGCACCAGCTCTGGCCTAGGACGGAGTCTCAAACAGCCTCAGGAGAGGCAGGACTAGGGTACAAGCCAAGCACCCAGCAGCCACCAGTATGCTAACAGGCGCCTTATGGCAGAGAAGCCAGTGGGGAAGAACAGGGACCACAGTGGGGGAGTCGGAGGAGCCAGGTGGAGACCAGGGTGTGGCAGGCAGGATGGGTTTCTCTTGGCTTTACCCATCCAGAATCCAAGTTCCTGCAAGTTGCTAATTGTACCCCATTTTCCTGAGGGGAAACCTCAGTTCCCCTACTCTGTAAAGTTTACATATAGCTGACTCCACCCCTTCCCAGCTCCACAGAGTATACATGTAATCTCGGCCTGGTCAATCAGAATCTGCCCTGAGACTTTTGCTCTAATTATCAGGAAACATTTTCTTTCTGCTGAGATCAGCAAGTCAGAGCTATCCCACTCTGATCCTGCAATTTGGGACCCGCCTGAGAGTAAAGTCAACAGAGCAGAGGGCAGAGCTAAGAGCCAGATGGAAATAGACCCTGATGAACTCATTTCAGCCCCTGGATTCACCCACACCTGAAGCCAGTCCCACCCACTTGGACTTTTCAGTTATAAAACCCAACAAATTCCCCCTTCTGCTTATTAGGCCAGTTTGGCTATCGTTTATCTATCTGACCACAGGAAAACTTCCCACTAATAAAGGTTATGAAGCTGGGCAGACCCAGGTTCCACTTCTAGTTTTGCCACGTGCTTGCTTTGTGACCTGGCGTGAGTCACTCCTGCCCCCCACCCCCCAGTGTCAGGGGGACAACAACACCTACTAACAAGGTTGCTGAAAGAATCAAACAAAACTAGAGAAGTGAAGTGTCTACAAAAGCAACATGTGCACAAAGGTCGGTGCTGCTTTTCTTGCCAGAAGAGGGGCTGAGGGCACAAGAGAGGTCAGAATTGGCTTATGAGGTCACTGGCCCCTTTTGTAGCCCCAGGGACTGCGGGGTCTGAGGAGAAGGGGCAGTATCAGCTGCTCTCCCTGCACCCACACCCCTGCTAACCATGAAGAGTAGAGAATAAGCACAGCACCCTCCCAACTAGTATCCCCACTGTGCCGAGCCCAGAAGGCAGCCACCTCCCAGGCCTGCCATCCGGGGTCAGTCTCCAGTCAACAACTTTCCAGGTGCCCCTCTGCAGCCTCAGTTTCTCCACCTGCGGGTTAAAGGCACCAGGCCTGATCTGGAGCTGTGCCCCTCAGACTGGAATGTGTGTAGGCATCACCCAGGCTGGGAACATACTGAGGCTGCTCCGAACAAGTTCCCAGGGACGCCCTGCCCCTGCTGCTGCCACTGTGGGTACAAAGACCGACCACACTGGAGTTACCAGAAATGCCACTGTGTGTCAAAGCCTATAAAATAACTGAAGTAATGATTAAAAAATAAAATAGACATTTCCTACAGGAAGAGATGGTGCTAAGTGGTTTACACTTGGTAACAGCCGTAAAGATTGAGAGCATGACCATCATCCCCACTGTAGAGAAGGAAAGGAGAGGGGCAGGTCCCCGGCCACCTCTGCCCTCAGTTCTGCTGGACAGATGGTCTTATATACCCCCTCCTCTCATGCTCTCACAGCTCTTCTCTTGGACGAGCTCCTGTCCTTGGAGCACTGACAGAAGTGACAAGGGTTGGCTCACTCAGGAAAAAGGGGAAGGTGGCAAGGCTGGCTGAAGGTGGGGAGGAAGAGGTGGAGCCAGACTAGAGGGCGGGCCAGGTGATTCTCAGAGGACTTCCGTGGGATGCAGAGGGCCCTGGGGAAACTCCACACCTCTCAGGACCAAAGAAACTGGGACACACTGTCCCCTCCCTCTGGGAGGGTGTCTCCTAACCTCATTAACATTCCAGAGTGCACAGAGTGCGTCTTCACATCCCATGCTCCACTGCCTGCCTCCCACCTTCCACAGCTGGCCGGTGAGGCAGGATGCCAGCTCCCTGGTCTTGATCACAGCGCAACGCCTGCTGTGAGTCTCTGAACCAGGGCCTTGTCCTCTCTGGGTCTCTCATCTGTGCAATGGGACTAACCAAACCTCACCCAGAGCTTCTAGATGGGAAAACCTGGAAAACCCAGAGGAGGAGAGAGGCTGTAATGCCCCCTAACCTGTCCCACCCCTAGCAGGTTGCGGAACATCCAAAGCCTAGAAGCCAAACAGGATGGGGGAGGCTCCGTAGGACTGAGGCCAAGTCTCTTTGCCCCTCCTCTGTTGCCCTGGGAGGAAGACAGACACTGTCCTAAGCAGGAATCCCCAGGAGGAGGAAGAACCGGGCCCTGTCCACCTTGCCTCCAGGGCCAATCTGATCTGACCCCTACACACACTGCTTTGCTGTGTCCCCTCCATCTCCAGCCACTGCCTTTCACCCTGTTCTTCAAGCACTCAAACTGACCCCTACCTCTGGCCTTTGCTCCCCGGCTAGCTTTGGGATCTCAGCCCTCTCATCACCTCCTCAGAGAAGCCCTCCTTAGTCCCTCTGGCCGCTAGCTCGCCTGCGTCCTTCACAGCACTTTCCTCATCTGAAGCAGTGTTCACATGTTCACTGCCCACCTCCCCCAGGTGTGCTCATGACTGATCCCCCAGTACAGCACCTGGCACAACAAACGCTTTGATGTGAGCCACTGAATCTCCTGCCCTGCTCAGGCGAGCACCTACAGGGAGTGGGAGGACCCCACAGCCGCCTCTTCACTGCAGAGCTACCTCCTCCCTCAAATCCAGTGGAAGTAGAGTCCTTGAGCCCTTGAGATGGGTCCTCGGGAGACAGGAAAGCCCCAGACGGGGCTGCAGCCACAGCTTATGAACAGCATTCCCGGGCCTCTTCAGGCTGCTGAGGCCACTGCGAGGCTGGAGGCTGGTCCTGACAGCCCATTTGTGGATGGGGGCACTGAAGCCCAGATCGCTTCCTGCATGGCCTCAGCCGAAGGGTCTAGAAGCCCTCCTGCTCACCTGCCACAGCCCAGCCCAGGGCCGTTCGCGGCGGCTGTGTCTGGTCACCCTGCCCCATACATATTTGTCCCTGTTCCCTGAGCTACTCCTAATTACTGGGTCCCCGTTTCCTGTTGACTATTTACACCCAGAGCCATTCGCCTTCTGAAACAGACTCCAGGCTGTCTTCTGAGGGGCGCCCTGAGTGGAAGGGGGTTACCCGTGAAGAAAGAGGACAGGTGCTCCCCTGTCCCTGGAGAAAAACCCGGGGACAGTCGTAGGCGTAAAGCTTCATGCCGCAGCGACAGATGGGGCTCCCTATCTAGCTGTGGCAGGAGACATGGCGAGGGCCCCCTCCTTACCTTATAGCCCAGTGCTGCACTCAGGCCGGGCCGCCCAGACCTCCCATCTGCGGCTGCTCCGTGCGCGGAGCCGGCACAGGCCGCGGAACTCTGGCCTCCAGCGCCAGAAGGAGGTGGGGGAGCAGGCAGCGTCACGCAAAAACCGCGGGCAGCCGACTCCGCGGAAATGAAGGGCGGGGTGTTAAGCCGCAAAGGCGACAAGCGGTCGGCGCGCCGGGCCGGCTGACCCCTAGGACACCATACAACCCTTCCCGACAGCGGCGACCTGGAAGCCAGTACCGTCCTTTTCGTCCAGCCAAAACTGCAAAAACAGCCACAGTCCCTACCTGTAATCACTTAGGCCCGCCCCCAACCCTCAAGTAGCCTATAAGAACGGAGGATCACTGAAAAGAGCGGGAGAGACCAATCAGATTCCCAAGAGGCGGGGCGGCTCTCTGATCCCTTAAAGAGACAGGTCGAAGGCGCTGCGGAGACTAGAGCAGCTGCGTTTCTCACCTGGAAAGCCGTCCCGGTTCGCAGACTAGAGGGCAGAGGACGCGCCACCTCTAGCCCCGGGCGCCTGCCAGCTGTCAGAAGCTGTCACCCGACCAGAGCCCCAAAGCCGGCGCTCCACCTCCCGGCTCCGGCCTGCCGGACTGTCCGGGGCGGAGCCTCCAGGGCAGCCTGGCGCGTGCCGGCGCCTCGGGCGCCCTCAGTGGTGACCTCTGGTCACCTGGGCGAGGAAGGGAGGGCGGGGAATCCCTCCCGCTGAGCGACGCTCCCAGCAGGCCAGACCGCGCGCAGGGCCACCCTCAAAGCGCGCCGGCGTTTACGGCCTGCATCCTGTGTTTCAAGTGCGTCTCTCAACCCTGCAATGGGATTATTATTAGTCATTTTTTACTGGGCAGGAGCCTGAGGCTTAGAGACGTTAAAGAACTTGCCACACGATTAGGAAGTGGCAAAACCACCTCCAATCTGTAACTTCAACTATTCTGGCAACTTCTGGAACGTCTTCTCCCGGGTTGCCCCTGCTCTTAGCGCCTACCCCAATACCTCCTTACCCGAACCCCTACTCTCCCCACCCCTATTCCTCCTCCCCTGCCCCCTTCTGTGCTGTGTTCTTTGCTCCAAGATCCAGTCCCCTCCGCACTGGTTTCTGTTTCTATTTCTTGGATGCACTAGGCCTGACCCTGGGTGTCCACATCTGTCCACCTGCTCTGCAAGCTCCTTGTTACCTCCTCAGAGGGCTTTCTCCTCAGCCTCGCTGGAGCAACTGTCCAGTCTCTGTCCCACAATTCTCCATTATTTCCCTTAAAGCACCATAACTCTCTCCCCTGACTATTCGTTTACTTGCCTCCTTGGCGGTCATAAGTCTCCCCCGACCAGAATTTCAGTGTCACGACGCTGAATGCTCTGTATTCCCTACAGCATGTTGAGGTAGACTCAGTCCCTGCTGCAAATTGTAGGCACCCAGTTATTACAGTCACCCCGAGATACAAACTCCATGATAATACAGTTGGGCTGGAATGAGATTGGGCCCCATTGTTCACCTGGGTTCTGTTCTAAAACACACAACAGCGCCTTGCCCCAGGCCATTGGTATCTCTCCCAGTGGTCATCTGGGACTTTATCTGGGACAGTTTCAAAGTTTCAGTATCTGTGTTCTTCAGAGAGGCTGGGCAATGTCTGTCTTTGTGATGGCTGCTGAACACAGGAGCAGGCCTGAGGGGAGTTGCTCCCTGCCCCTCAAGTTCTGCCAGGAAATTATTCACATCTCTCCAGCTCACATTCAATTGTCTACCAATTCTGCCTCCAGGGACAGGAAGCCCCCCACCCCCACCATGTGCCATGAAGGAGTAGTCATGGGACACGTGTGACCCAGCCTACCCACCACCCTTTATCTTTCTTGCATGCTTTCTGAGACTGCAGGCTTGGGGGAGGAGGGCCTGGAGGAGTTTTCTATCACCATAGCAACACTCAATTCTGCATTTTGAGCTCTTGAATTTTGTACCCTGTATGAACTGAGTTCTATCTGCCCCACTAAGCTGGAAATTCAGGTGGACCCTGCCACACCCCATTGTGAAACTAAGCAATTCACTATAGATCCACTCCAGCCACTAGGTCACTTTGGGACTTTATTGTATTTGTGGAATAACTGATGGCATGTCATTTCACCTCTCTTCCTTTGAAGGCAACAGCTAGTTCACACTGTATTCCCAACACACAGGACAGAGTTTAATAAATAGTAGTTTATCTGGCTGGGCAAGATGGCTGATGCCTATAATCTTGGTACTTTGCAGGACAAGGCAGGTGCATTGCCTGAGCTCAGGAATTTGAGACCAGCCTGAGCTACAAGACCCCATCTCTACTAACACTAGAATAACTAGGTAGACGTGGTAATGGGTGCCTGTAGTCTCAGCTACTCAGGAGGCTGAGGCTAGAGCATCACTTGAGTCCAAGAGTTTGAGGTTGCTGTGAGCTATGATGCCACGGCTCTCTACCCAGGGTGACAGAGTAAAACTGTCTCAAAAGAAAAAAAAAGAATCAAAGGAGTAAGGCACCGGCCCCATATGCCAGAGGTGGTGGGTTCAAACCCAGCCCCGGCCAAAAACTGCAAAAGAAAAAAAAGAAACAAGATCTGACTCTTACGCAGGGGTGGCATCCTGTCCAGCCCATGGCTGACAATAGAGATGCTGCTGCAGAAGTGGGATCCCTGATAGCCATGGGGATGATAGCAGTCCACAAATAACAGAGACCATATGGTAGCGCTCAGTTATCAGAAGCAAAATGAATGCAATCATCACACAAAGTGTGACAATTAAGCCCTCAAACTCATCCTAGAAAAAGTGCTATGCACCTCATTGCTGATTGTCACTCTGTCCCCTCTGATGTACTCCCCTGGGGAAGCTATGCACCAATGCCAGTGCCTAGTCCATCATCCAAAGCAATTTCAACCTCTTTTTCTGGAATAGCCATCAGAGATGTCTCATAATTACCCTTGATGTCGTGAATATCACCAAAATGCCTTCCTTTATCTTAATTTTTTTTCTTGTATTTCCTTTATCTTTGGCAAAGAAAAAAGTCATGTGGGGGATAGATCAGGTGAGTAGGGACAGTGTTTCAATACAGTTACTTGTTTACAGGCTAAAAACAGTGCTACGTGAGCTGGCATTGTTGTGATGCAAGAGCCATGAGTTGTTGGCCAACATTTTCAGTTAAGATTTTCGTAAGTATTGGCTCAGCACCTGCAGCTCAGTGGTTAGGGTGCTGGCCACATACATCGAGGCAGGTGGGTTCAAACCCGGCCCGGGCCTGCTAAACAACAATGACAACTGCAACAAAAAATAGCCTGATGTGGTGGCAGGCACCTGTAGTCCCAGCTACTTGGGAGGCTGAAGCAAGAGAATTGCTTAAGCCCAGGAGTTGGAGGTTGCTGTGAGCTGTGACGCCATGGCACTCTACCAAGGGTGACATAGTGAGACTCTGTCTCAAAAAAAAAAAAGAGAAAGGATTTTCATAAGTATCTATCAATGTTTACTTGGTTTGCCACATTTATCAGAGTCACCCGACAACGTGGATGCACTATGATGAATTTTTACAATGTTTGTGTTGGTTCTGCTGGTTACTGGCTGTCCTGACCCCTCTTCATCAGTGATGCTTTCTCTCCCCTCCAAAAAACATTCAATCTGTTTGTACACTGCTGTTTTCTTTGCAGCATTATCTCCATAAATGTGGACTAATATGTCCCTGATTTCATTTCCACTCGTCCCAAGTTTAACAAGAAATTTAATGTTTGTTGTTCTAATTCAAGCTTCAACATTCTCAAGAGCACACAAAAACGTGAACAATAATGAAGGTTATTCAGCAAGACATTGCCACTTGTCAACATGAACACAGCTGTGAGACACTGATATACCACAGTTATGAAACTTTACTGAGCCATCTGTACAGTGCTGCCAATGTAAGGGCATGGTGGCAAGTTCTCAAACTTACTGTAGACCTACTTGACCATCAAGGTCAAAGTGGGAAAGCTGAATATATCAGTGGGATAGACAGTATAGTGAATAGCTAACAAATGCCCATGCTAACTCCTTGGTCTATGGAGTAAGCATTATCATTGTCATAAAACTCAAGTGAAAGCCCCTGAAACACCACCACACTCCCCAGCCAAGATAGTAAATAAAAATCAATGTCACTTATGTGGCAAAGATTAGTGCCACCCTTGAAATGCAAAAGCAAGTTGAGGGGCAGGGGTGGACCCCACCATATCCCTGTTTAATTCATTTGTCTGGCCTTTAAAAAGAGAGAGAGGGCTCGGCACCTGTGGCTCAAGTGGCTGAGGTGCCAACCACATACACCTAAGGTGGCAGGTTCGAATCCAGCCCGGGCCCACCAAACAACAATGACGGCTGCAACCAAAAAATAGCCGGGCATTGTGGCAGGCACCTGTGGTCCCACCTACTTGGGAGGCAGAGGCAGGAGACTCTCTTGAGCCCAGGAGTTGGAGGTTGCTGTGAGCTGTGATGCCACGGCACTCTACCCAGGGGAACAACTTGAGGCTCCGTCTCCAAAAAATAAAAATAAAAAATAAAAAAATAAAAAGAGAGAGAGAATGATAGTGGATTGCTGCAAACTCATTCAAACTCAGTCTGCAGCCCCAACTGCAGGTGCTATGCAGGTGTCATTGCTAGAACAGATCAACTTGGCCTAAGTATTCGGGGCCATCCTTCTTTTTATCCCTGTCAGGAATTATTTGTATTCATGGGGAGAAACAACAGTATACACATATGGCCTTGCCCCGGGCCAATGATAACTCTCCTGTCCTTTGCCATCATAGAATCTGAAGGGGACTGAGCCATCTGGACATTCTGCAAAATGTTGCACTGGTTCCCTATATTGGTATGTCTGTTAATGAGGCTGGATGAGCAATAGGTGACACGTAAATGAAGCTCTGGATGAGACATAGATGCTCCAGAAGGTGTAAGATCAACCCTGTGAAGAACTGGGGGCTTGCCACATGGGTGAAGTTTGCAGGGGTCAAGTTGTCTGGAGCCTACTAGAACATGCCTCACTAATTAACGGACAAATAGTCTTCACAGAAAAGGAAGCACAATGCTTAGCCAGGTCTCTTGGATTCTGGAGGCAGCTTCGAGTGAGGCCCACACCAGGAAAAAGCCATAGGACCCAGAGACCCCCATGATGTTAGAAGCATGTGTGGTGGGAAAAGATGCTGTGTGAAGTTTCTACCAAGTCCTGGGGGGAAAAAATGCAATGTGGATGCCCAGGGGTTCTGGAGCAAGACCTGGCCATTTATGGTAGAGAACCATACACCACTTACAAAACAGCTACTGAACCCTGGGAGAGATGACTAAGGGACATCCAGTGACCACAGGACCACAGCTGTCCCTTCTAGTGGGTTCTCTACAGCCCACTATGTTAAAAATTCAGGGCCCTGAGTGGCACCTGTGGCTCAAAGGAGTAGGGGAGTGGCCCCATATGCTGGAGACGGCAGATTCAAACCCAGCCCTGGCCAAAAACTGCAAAAAAAAAAAAAAAAATTCCAGGCCCTGCAGCAGCCATGGTAAGACTGTGAGAAACCCACAGTAGACACTCACCAGCCA